CTGTAGCGCCTCGATTCATACAACTAATAAATTTAGCTACGGTAGCAACGACATTAGCTGTCCCCATTTCAAAGACACATTTAGCTGCCACAGCTAAATCTTAGTTCTTATGGCCAATTCTTCCTCTGAGTCTACTCCTATTATAGGTACTCCAGTGCCGACGAGCCGCGATTACCGTCGAATCGTTATTCGACGTGCCTGTGGATTACGCGTTCACGCGTTTCGGGAGACAGGCGAAAAATAATCGAATCCGGACGAAGTGTCGACTCGCGAACTCGCTCGTTCGCCAGCAGTCGTCGATGATTACGCGCGTTCACCTCTTTAGTACTTTAAGCCCGTCAGGGTTAACGTTTGACGCTTAACGCCCTAAGCCCGTCGGGGTTACCGTTTAATCCCCGATGCTTTAAATCCGGCATAATGACCGGTACATTATCATGCCGTTGTATAGGAAAAGCATCGGCTGCATCGCGTCGCTGATTCCGGAAGACACGTCGGCGATCCGATGACGCGATATGCATTTTCGCACAAGAGATTTTCCAAATAAACGACGCGCGCGCGCGCGCTATCCATTAGAACGATTAAATAACTGATACACATCTCGCGCGCTCGTGTCGCGTCATCAAACGGAATCGATCGCAGCAGCTTTTTTGCTTGTCCTTTTTTTATCCCACGACGATCGTGTCGTGATGCGGACACGATCATCCGGCGTTCTCGTCTGCGAATCTACACCCGTTCTCGCGTGTCAAAAAGTTTTTTTCGCAATTCGGCGCTTTTTCCCCCGGCGCGGAACGAATGAACGGACTGACGGACGGACGGACGAATGAACGAACGATGGACGGACGGACTCGTCCGGGAAAAACGCGGCCGATGAAAGGGCGGCGCGCGAGGTTAATTGTGCGCCAACGCGCGGTGCGCGCCCTTTGATTACCGGCGCGACGCGCCCTGCGTCGCGCCCCGTGCGTTTCTTTCTCACGTAATTACGCGGCCCGTGCCGCGAGTGATCAACCTTTATGAAGACACCCGCTGCTATCCTTCCGCCCAACCCGCCGCCTTTGTCGTCCTTTCTTCTCATAGTTTGCTCGTTCGCTCGCTCGCGCAACCCACTCGCCGGAAATACGGTTCTTTTCCTTCTAAGTGACAAAAGGCCGGTAGCTTGAGTGGCGCTGTATATACCGAGCTCTCGCAATATTCGGTACAGAGGCTGATGAAAGATTTCAAATGCCGCTCCCCGAGGAATTCTGTAATTCTCCGTAAGAATTTCTATATAGAGACAGAGCGTGCGCCGCGCGTCTCTATGAAGAATCTCGTAAATTCCTGCAAAGAGCCCCGTCCGAGCGCGCGCGCGCGGACTTCCGAAATTAGAAATGAATAGCGCTGCGAGAGTTGGCGAAAAACTCCATTTCTGGCTTTTTAACAGCGCCGGTAGACTCTAATTAGGGGATTTCTGCAACGTGGGGAGGGGGAATGCAAGCGCGAATCACTTTAAGGAAGAGAAGGTAGTTAAGGCCGACGTTCTGCTATTATTGGAATGAAGAAGGCTGAGGGACGGCGGCGAGGGTGAAGGCACGAAGAAGAGTCGCAGATGTGTACGTGGCTTCTTGCTCTCGGCGCTGCCGAATGCCTCTCACGTACGGCGCACGTGTGGTTACGTGCGGCTCCGGCTTGCAAATCAAAAGCGGAGGAACTATTTGGATGCGAGCGGACGTTTTTCGCGCCGAATAAGAGCGGTGAATTGGCCGTGCGACCCCGAGTCAAAATTTTAGACCTACTTTCGACCCGAATTATCTAACATATCTGTAGGATCAACGTAGGTTTCATTTGTATGGAAACTTCTGTCTTATTTCTCGAGTCCAAATTTTAGTCTTGAATTAAGTTATTACATCGAGTCTACTTAGTTCTGCATTAAGTCTTCAAGTGAAGAAAACGGAAATAACTTCCCATTCGTAGTATTACAGGGACACAGTAGAAGATCTAATGAAGACTTAATGTGGAATCAAGTAGACTTAATGTGGAAGTGAAATTTCGACTCGGATTAGCACCTCTAAATGGCAGAAAACGTACAAAATGCCATTCGTACGCCTTAAAGAGGATCTCAGCAAAGCCTCATAAAACCTTCCGGACTCTGTAAAGCTAACCTGTTCTTCTAATCTTATTAAGGTAATATATTCATTATTGGTTATTTAAAGAGATAATTTTATATTTGATAGCAGTACTTTTTTATAAATAAATGTCATATACAAAATAATAATATTGAATTAATTCCTATTGATAGTATTGTTGCAACTTGCGTCTACATGATTATTAATAATGAAATACATGTAGGTATTCCTGTAAATCGATAAGAACTTGAATAATGATTTTCAGTTAACGATCGGGAATTCTTCATGTACTTAAATAATAATAACTATGTCTTCAATAATTATATAATAAAATGTTTCTGTTTCATGATAACTAATATACGTGTTGCTCGTCTTTCTTACATACAATACATATTTTAATGTATTTAAATTTCTATATTTATTATTTTAATTAATTGCAATCTGATTCAGAAATAGTTTAAAAAGAAGAGTTTTGATTTATTTATAGGAGCAGCAAACTATCCGAGTAGAATTTACAAGCTTTAAATAGAACCTGTTGGTTAAATAGAATCAAAAGGGTTGCTATGGATTTCAGAATATTTAAATAAGCTTTACGTGGAATATTGAAATCGAAAATAAAGTTGCAATTTCAGTTGAGGACTTAAATAGAAGCAAGCGAGATTCATGTAGGCTTCAGAGTAGACGTCAAATGGAATTTTCAAATCCAAAGTAGGATTAAAATTTCGATTCGTATTGATATAACATTGAATGATTCTAAGCGACGTGGCCGAAACCGCGATATATCGTCGTTCGACGCACAAAACATTTGATAAATTATTGTTCGCAATTTTGAAACAAAAACGTGCATTTTCTTTGCCCGTCAATATTTCCCGTCAAGCCGTAATTCGCCAATACTCGCCGTATTGCTCCCGCGCTTTAAATGCGTGACCTTTTAAGTTACCTCCGCAGGATATCGAGTATTGGATCTACTTACAGTTATTAAATTTTCAAAGCTCTTATCCAGACATGCCCCGCGGCAACATCGAATATGTACTTACGACTAAGCTTAGAATTCTCGGCTCTTCCGGAAGGCTGATGGAAGAGGGAGCAACTTCGCTCTTCTCGCGGCAATTCTCGAACTTATACGACAGGAGTTTTGCACGCCGCGAACGGAGACGTAGGTGGAGAAAGCAAGCCCATATGCAGGTGGTATACGCTATTCTAGTGAACCGTGCGAAAGAAAGAGAGAAATGGGACTCGCACGCACAACGAAATCTCAATTCTCGAAGAACCACGCGAATCATTGTATTCTTTTCCGCAATAATTGTAACGATATTTGAATTTATTATACACGGTGAATGAACCCGAATGAATAACATATCGCTGAGAAGAAAAGAGAAGAAGATAACGATGAAATGATTTACGTATCGAAAGGGAGCTACACAAACGAGTAGTGTACTCTCTCTTCTCCACCGGCGGATCGACGTGAAACTCAATAATGCTGCCGAGGCAATCGTTAATCGCATACAATTACATTCGAAAGCGTTCGACTGTCGCGAGCGAAGCCGTCGCGCGCATTGCCGTGAAAAATCGAGTCGTGCTCATCGGAATGAAGCGCGTAGGGCGTCGTAATTCACGTCGAGCCGAGAGAGAAAAGCCGGTTAAGACCACCGGGCTAAAACACAAAAGCGAAGTTATAATATATTATAATACACAACAGTCGCGGCCTTCGCGACGTATCTCGCGTCCCCCGGACGATCCCCGGTATCGCCTGGAAGGGATGCAAATTGTGCACCGGGCGTGCAACGTTCTCGATCTGTAGTTAGCAATTCTCTCATCTCTATTCCCTCTTACGCGCTTACGAAGTTGCGGAGTTTCTACAAGGCTCCGGAGCAGGTGGAAGAGGAACGGCTCTCCGGCCCTCGAGAGGGCTTAACGGGCAGGCACAGAGAGAGAGAGAGCGAGAACTTTCGCGTATTACATAGTCATATTAGTATTACGCGTGGTATCGTTCGGCTGGAATTTCGTCTCCTCTTCGCGAAGGGAGCGGCTCGAGAACGTAGGGGGACGAGGACGAGAAGACTGCGCGTGTCCCCGCTAACAAATTTGCGACGGGCTTTCCGCGGAAAGACCACCGAGCCCCGGATGTCGTGTGCGTCGTAAAGAAAGAGGGTCTATCACAAAAGAGATCCGCCCTTTGTTCAATTATTCCCGGCCTTGCGCAGAGTCGTTACGCCACCGTCGTGGCTAATAAGGTCGTTACGGGTATTTTATAAACATTTTGTCCGCGGAAATTCAGGATCCACCATGTCCCGGGTTTAATTATACGCGATATCAGCCTCGCAGATGTCTGAGCCGCGCTTCTGAAGCGCGCTCTGCGACGAATGTGGGGGAGGGGGGACCCTTGCCTCCGCCGAAAATTAAATCACGCGCTCTGTCTCTTCTTAGAGCGGAAAGTAATCTCGCCAATCAATTTCGCTGAATTAATCGAATAACGAAATTGTCAGTTTCTGTTCGCGACCTCGCAAGATCTTTCTCTGCGTCCTTGTATTTCCGATACAAAGTGCACGGAGAAAATATCATGGTAAAAATTACCGCAAAAAGTTTGCAATGCTGGACATTAATGATTATAAACATCATAATAATTCTGATATGACCCAGCATTACAAACTTTTGTAATAATTTCTACCGCAATATTTTTACAATATTTTTACGTTTTCTCCGTGTAATTGAAATTTTGCCTTTGTAGCGTCATATTTCGATTTAAATTTTCGCAAAGCAGAACTCCAGATACCACAAACGATACATCTCGATACGATGGGAAGTTTAAAAAGTTAGAATTTTACAATTAAAAAATTTTATAACTCAGTTTCAGCGTCGCGGGTTGTTCATGAAAGGACTTATTACTGTTTGCAGCAACAACAGCAACAGGCGCAACAACAGGCTCAGCAGCAGCAGCAGCAGCAACAGCAGCAGCAGCAGCAACAGCAACAACAAGTCGGCTCACCGGGGAGCGGAAATGTGGGCAAGGGTAGCCCGTCTCCCGGAAATTCGTCGTCTCCCGGCACCGTCACGACTTCCACCAAGTCCCAGACGGAGGCGAAACCGGTGGAGTGCAATCTGTGCCATCGAAAATTTAAAAACATACCGGCTCTTAATGGCCATATGAGACTCCACGGTGGTTACTTCAAAAAGGTAAATTTCATATTTGATAAGGGTAACACTCCCCGGGGAGCGCTCGTTTACGTATTTATGCGGATTTGCAAGAGCTAGAGGGCTGGAGCCCGATAAGAAGAGGGGCTTCTGCCCTGCCTGAAATATTCTAATAATGTTTTATCTCGTAATTTATGTCACTAGCGAGCTTTCGTTCCGTACTCGTGTATTCTAAACCCAACCGATTACGCGATACGATCGGAATTTAAATATATACAACGCATCTCAAAATCCGCAATCCGCGGATTACAATCGTCAATACTTAGTTATATAATGTTATATACTGCCGATCTCGAAATAACCGGTGTTAAAGTTCACACGTATTCGTAATCAGACGTATCTTTGTTCGTTGATGCTGGCGGATGTTTTACGCATACTCGACGTATCAAGCGTGAACTAAATTTTATCCAGCATCTCGAAAGCGTGTTATCGACCTGTCCACGGCAACAAGACGCGACCGTACACAAAGAGTCACAAATGCTTGGCCACTTCCTAAATTGCGAATATATACAATTTTGAATTTTATATTTATATACATAAAATTGAAAATCGTGTAAAAATAACCGCAATTACAATCCTTAATTATAATGGCCATACAAGCGTAAAGGCGAATACAATATAAGATTAATATAAGAATTTTCCAAATTTCTTGAGTGATGATTCTTTACGTACGCGCGTCGTATACGGAAAGTAGCCGAACATCGGCTTAATTGCGCAAGCCGATTAAACAGAATGGTCGCGGAGTTTTACCCGCGGGCTGTAAAATCACGCGTCGCGTCGGCCTCCGGCCGTCGCGCGCGGCTATATCTTTAGCATAAAGGAACTCATCTCGCGCGGCGGCTTATCTCATTTGCATCCGCGCGAACGAGCGCGTCGTCGAAACTTCATTTTCGGGCGAAAACTTTAATATTCCAGAGAAAATCTCCGCGTTCGCGCGCGCGCACGCGATGTTCCGCCGAAGTTATAGCGCGCCCGCGCCGTTTGCATCACCATATGAATTCGCAATCGCGCGAATTCGCGAGCGCGCCCGCGGTGCATCCGAATAATCAACCGGCGTTTCTATGAAAATCTCATCAGGCTTCCGCCGCCGTCTCGGGCGGCGTTCGGGAGGGGCGCGATACTCGAGGAGATGCATCCTCGGCGGTGATAATCGCCGCGGCGAGGGCGCGGAAGAGGGCGAAAAGTGATATAAGAGAGCGGAGATCGCCTGCGGAGATCCGCGCGATTTCAGCACACTTTCTTGCCGCCCCTTCCCCTTCATCGTGCCCGAGGAGGATAGGAACACCGAACAGCGGTGTTTTTAATAAGGTCAGGGGGTAAGGGATTGTAGCCGTTGAAATAGAAAGATCAGCGATTCCACGACCCACTCTCACTCTCTCTCTTTCTCCCTCCAGCCATGTACCCTTCGCCTTCCGTTTGCCCCCACCGTCCCCCGGTGTTCTCCTGTCGCTGATTAAAAATGTCTTAACGAAGACTGCGTCGTTTAGAAAAGTGCTGAAAAACTTGTCGGACAAAAGTTTCCCCCTTTTCGCTCGATCCCGGCGGCAGGGGGCGGCGAACGGCGGGGGGTTCTTTATTCTACAATTGAAAGACGATGACGTTACCGGCGCTGGAACGAGTGGGAATAAACCGGTCTGGTGGCAGGCGTTAAAAGGCAAGACGAAGGGCAGGTGGAATTATAATCGACGTATTGAGAATCGCCGTGCATAAATAGGTGTCGTTTCTTCCAATTCGTGAAGTTTCGCCGCGGTGATCGCGAAAATACAAGACTCGTGAGAGTTATCGGACGCTAGTAGTCTCGAACGTGCGATACAATGTGAAAGTAAAATTTGCCCGTCGAGATGTGTACGAGAACGATCATTCTTAGGCCTGTTACATAATACGGCATAGTCGTATGTCGCTGTCGGATGTCGGAATGCAGCCGGTGATTCAATGAGAGAATTTGCCTGTCGAAAACGAGTTCTCTGATTGGAGCATCGGCTGCGTTCCGACGCCCAATAGCAATGTACGATGTATTATGTAACAAGTCTTTAAAAGGGTATGTTTCACTTAACATTCGCAACGATCATCATTCCGCTCCTATAATACCCAGGAGAGACAAAGATAGAATCAATTTACGAGAAAGGCAAGTAAAAGCCACGCTGTGAGTATTATTATAGCGACATTTTTGATGTTGCAGATTACAAAAGTCTGTAAATCGTACGTTTCGATCTCGGTTTGAATAATTTTCAGCGCGTGCAAAGAACAAATGTATGTAATGGGTGTATGAATTACAAGAAATAACTAATAATCGTAATATAAATATCGAAATACAAAAGTCGAGTTGTGTTTTTCTTTAATGATTTTCGAAACTGACCAGACTGGCAGAAATTCATCATCAGTAAAAGATGCTGAAAAACTTAAAAAGTAACTTTCAAAAGTGAAAATGTCCGTTACCTTAATTAATAAGTTAGTGTAAGTACTTAATAAATATTGAAAAAAATTCTTTATTAAATTTTATATATATATATATAAACCTTTATTAAGTTATATACATAAATTATATACATAAATCTTTATTAAGTTACATACATACTACGTAGATATCGAATCTCTAATTCGGTTTTCTCAAAGTAGGATGACACGCCAGGTCAGTCTGATAGATAATAAACAACAAATACAATGTATCATATCTTATACACTTATCAGGAGGTTATAACAATATAAGAAACGCGACAATAGATATCAGAATATTAAATGCGAGGAAGTCTCTAAGATGAGAAAATAATCGATCGAAAATAGAATGATGCTCGCGCGATCGTTGCGAACGTTAAGTGAAATCTCCCCGGAAATGTGCGGTGCGGAATGTGTCCGTCAGCGTGCTTGATCTCTCGATGATCTGGCCCCGACTCGTCACGCACACAATCACACGTCCCGATTGGATCTTGAGACTGCATTCCTATCGCCGGTCGGGGTTCTTCGCGATTCCGTCAAATGCGTCGAATTAATTTTCCAATCAACGTTTTTAACGACCGCATATAACGACCCATCGCCCCTCGTCCGCTCGATCCGTCCCGTCTCTCCTTATTCCATTCATCGCTACGTAAGCGGGCGGGTGGAAAGACCGGTTGGTAACGACTCGATAGAGTAAAGATTGAAACGAGGCGGGCGATAGCGAGTAAATCAGCGAAGGCGAGATAAAGCGCGGACGCGGGAGGCAGATAGCACGGTGGATGGGAAAGGTAAGGCGATGATCGAATCCAAATGAACCCATTAACAAGCTCTTTGGTTCCACTCGATCCCCGAACCAATCCGCAGCGAGTTCGCGCCGGGATTGGGGGGGAAAGGGAGAATAAGCGAGAGAAGAAGAGATCGAGGGACACGGGAGGAGAGAGAGAGAGAGAGAGAGAAAGAGAGAGAGACGATTCAACGGTCAGATGGGAAGAGAGCAGAGAGAAGAGAGAGAGAGAAAGAGAGACGGAAGAGAAACGTAGCACGCGCGGAGAGGCCCGTGCAAACATTGTCTCGAGCTTTCTCCATTATGCAGATTGAATCTGACTGGTTACGGTCGGGGTTTTCAACGGCGCTGCTCTCATTTCAAGCACTCGAGTTTTCACCGCGATACCTCCGCCTCCTGCCGTCCACTCTCTCTTTCTCTCCTCCTCCCGCCTCACTCTCTCTCTCTCTCTCTCTCTCGCGTCCATGTACCGAGACCAGCGAGACCAACGAGCGTTACCGCGAAAGCTTCCCTTCCGGCATCTCCCCTCTTTCGGCGATTCCGTCGGCCGAGCTTTTTGCCCGGCGCGCGCCGGCCGCCACGGAATTATTGAAAAGTTTCGATGGCCCTTCAGATTCGGGGATGTACGTCTATACGTGCACATATATACATAGTATGTATAGCCAGATTAATGCATGTCGTACGTGGGGAACGCGGACGTGGAAGATAGGGGCAGAAAACACGAAAACTCAGGGGCGGAGGGATGGGGTGGGGGGGTTGTAGGCAGAGCCTCGTCCACCGTGAAACCGCGCTCGTTGTTGTTTAGGGCGCGCGTCGCAACGGGAGGAGTTAGCGACCGCGTTTGGGTTCGTTAAGTGGCAGCTGTTGTTAATCCCGCGCCTCTCGCAAGCCGCCTCTTTCGAGCGGGCGAACGAACGAACGGACGAGCCCACGGATAGACGTGTAGTCGGGCTTTACAGCGAATTACGGCGTGTAATTTGTTGTATTTTCGGGGAGGAATTCGCCCCGCATGCCGCCACCGTCGCCTTGCGCGGGCGCCGCGAACGCGGCCGTTTTTCATTACGCGTACCGCCGGCGTGACGAATGATTTTTCGGAGCGATAAATCGTCAGCAATAAATCTGCGCCGACGCGCTTCAGATTTATTTTCTGTAAGTAGTTGACGTCTAGCACGATTGATCGTCGGCGGTAGGAATTGTTGGGAAACATACGCGCGCGGCGCTATGGATCGTCGATTGATCGATGCCTCCTGAGCTAAGATAAGAACAAGAAATATATCAGAAATTGTGCCGCACAGAACTACGCCGGCGTCGTCCATTAATCGTCCTCTGCACTCACGCTCTCTCAGCATCAGAGACGTAGTCTGCATGCTTCCTCCGCCGAATGGATTATTTGCACGGTTGTGAAATAGAAAAAAAGGACTGACAGAGATATATTCGGCATAAGGTCGAGGACAATGGGTCGAATCTTTTCTTGTAGTCGTACAGCTTTTGTAAGAGTGTAAATCCGAGTCAAAATGTTGGTTCTATGTTGAACTTCTTAATTCTATAACACAGTAGAAGCCAAGATAACAAAATATAGGTTCAGTTTTAACACTATCACTACCGACGATTAACGTGTATTTTTCTATCGAAGTTTAAACAAGATTTTTTTAATAAAATACGTAATGTAAAGGAAAAAATATTCATTCGTTTATACATTCCGACCAAAAACTACGGAAAATCTCAGAGAATGAACCATTAGAAATTGGGGAAACTTTTGTAAGAAAAAATTACAAACCAATGACAGGTTTGACAGGTCGTGGTAGGTTTAGCGTTAAAGATATAATTTACTTGTTTCGTCCTGATGATGTCTTAAAACTTGCTTCTTGCTGTTTTAGCGTCATAGTAGGTTGTTTGAAATAACGTTAAAATTAAATCTAATAGATAGAATTACAAGTTCAAGAGAGAAGTTAAGTATCGGTATCGTCAAAATAAGTTTTTAGTAATCTGTAGGCCATGTAACCATCTGTAGGCGCAAAGTGCCCTTAAAAGCGTCAAAGTTCCATTCCTCTCTCTCCCTCTCTCTCTCTCTCTCTCTCGCCGGGGTCTAATCTCGGACAATAGCGGGCCGCGCGGAGTAACTCGTCCCGGTAGCTGGAATCGACACGGATCGAATTGATGAGTCCGGGAGCGGTGCGGCGCGGTGCAGCGCGCGGTGGACGTTCCGCAATCAATTCCGCGTATTAACGGCCGCCGATCAATATTCATGAAGCGAGCGAGCGGTGTACGCCCCGTCAAAGACAGAGTTCAATTTCGCGGGAGGTGATATATATAGTAGCCGCGACGCGGATGCGTAAGTGCGCGTTACACATATCGAAGTACGAGATAGGAAATTGAGGACCGCGATGACGAGCGGCGTGCGGGCGGGTGGACGCGCGCGTGTCCACCCGGGCCATTAAGGCTTGATGAAGATGACGATGATGACGTATGTATCCGGACTGATATATTGTCGGCGCAGCGCTCCCGAGCGAAGGGTGGTGGCGGGGTACAGGTGCGGGAGATGTATGCGCGGCACCCCCTCGGCGGTATTAGTATGCTAATTATAAACGTGCCCCGAAACTTGCGGAGGTCGGTCGGTCGGTCGGTCGGTGCTTAGGGAACAAGGACGCCCGAGTCGAAATTTTAGTCCTATATTAAATCTACTTAGTGCTATATTAAGTATTCAAGTAGAGAAAACGGAAATAACTTACCATTTGTAGTATCAAAAGGGCACTAATAATATTCATTTGATGCTACAAAGGGAATTTAGATTTCTCGGGGGAAATTTTTAATTCTACATTAAGTCTTCAATCGGTGGAAATGGAGATAATTTCCCACTTGTAGCATCAAGGGAAGCATAATAGAAAACCTTTGGAGACTTAATGTAGAACTGAACAGAATTAATGTAGAACTGAAATTTCGACTCGGCCGTTCCCGAGTTGAAATTTTGATCCTACAGGTTGTCCAGTGAGAATGTAATCGGGTAAACTTCGGTTTGAAGACCGTTGTATCGAAAACTTTTGAACGAGCAGGTAGGAGGGTTCTTCCTCTATGCAATATACAGAGGGTCTCAGTCATTGTCCGACTTTCAATAAAGAACCATTTAATGTTGTATTGTTCTAAGAACCGTTTAATGTTGAACTGTTTAATGTTGTTGTATTTAATGTTGAGTGTCGGAATGTAGAATAGACCGAAGCGAATCAGATCAATATAAGCTTTGATATAGTTATCGTTAGTTTTAATGAATACGGAGGGAGCGGAAGTAACGATGAAAACATGTTTGAGACGAAAAATTAACGACTGTCTCAAAACAACTGTCTCAAAGCTTATATTGATCCGATTCTTCTTGTGATCCAATTTGCTTCGGTCTACCTGGAGAATTTGAGTGCCAAGAAAACGGTCAAAATTAACCAGAGAATTGTAATAACATCTGCTGAAAAAAGTGGTTTTAAAGTAAAGGTCAGGATTGAATCCTTCAAGAGGACAACGATCCAAAATTTTGGAGTCGTCTTTACTTCCAATGGAAAAAAAAAAGATCGAAAAAGTGACATTGAAACTTTAGGTCTGACGATGAGTTACCAGACGCAGGTCTTATTAAAAATATCTGGACATTAGTGAATATAAAATTGCGTGGAGAACAAGTGTATACGGTGAAACAGATTCGTTTAATATGGCGATTTTTATCTCGAGAGTATACTGTAAAATTGGTGTAAAATATGTCTGGAAGAATGTCAGGCAATAATTGACAACGACGATGATTAGATGGTTTATTAATACAAAAACAGTGTAGTACTGATTGTGCAGTATATATGTAATTTTTTTTTTCATTTTTTTTATAACAAATAATTTCAAAGTAATATCAGCCACGTTCTTATTAGACGGACTGTAGTTCTACATTAAGTCTTGAAGCGTAGAAAACGGGAAATGACTTCCCTTTACAGCGCATCAAAGGAGCACACTAGGGGACCTCTGAAGACTAAGTGTAGAATTAAATAGACTTAATGTAGAACTGAAATTTCGACTCGGGTTCCGGCGCGTTTCGCGAGGACGAGTCGCGAAATCCACTTGCACGCGCGTAACTCGCGGAAACTTTACGTAATATAACTTCCACGGGGGCGCGTGCACCCCCCGCGTCTTGGGGGGAAAAAATTACGCGGACTTGAAGGAATTCTCGCGCTTAGTGAGTTAGTAAGTAGGGCCCGTAGCTCGCGAGCGGTAAGTTCGCGCCCCGAACATCGGCTTATCCTTCTGCCGATGAATGTGGGACGGGCGAGAGTGGGCGGGTAGGCGAGTGCACCCTCCGTGCAGGGGTGCGCACCGGCGACTCTCCGGGATAATAATAGATCGACGCGCGACGATGATAAATTCACGACAGCGACGCGCTATTGTGTCGTCAACGATATTATGTCTTTTGGTCGTTTCTCCTCCCGGTCGAGAGATCGATGCCGCAACGCGGCGCGGGATGGCTGCGGATGTATGGCAAAGCGGATTTTATCGTACGCTCTCGGAAGTTCCTGGGGAGCAGCGAGCGTATTACGAGCGGCCGAGAGATCCCGGTAATTGTAGGAACGATCCCGAGAGATTGGAAGGAAGACGGAGGAGAGAGAGAGAGAGAGAGAGAGGCCTGAAAAGTTTGCCCACCTATCTGTTATGGGGCGAAATTTTCAATATCTCCGAGGTGCACGAATGAGCAAATTTCCCGAGTCGGCTGGTTCTGTGACTAATGACTCAAGCCGTCCAGCGTTCTCGCAGTCCGGAATCCGAGCCATCGAGACAACGCGATCGTTCTTCGCGAGCAGCCAGGAACGATGCCGAGGAGGCGCCTTAGCGCCGGGGCGTGTTACAGGATGTTGAATCGCACACGCCAGAGATTCCATTACGATATAATCCAATGGACGCCTCAATTAGCCTCGCTCAGTGATTAGCGTGCATCTCTCTGCCTCTCCTCCGCCGTCCCCCCCTCCCCCCGCGCTTATTCACCATTGTAGTCTCCCTACACCGCCCTCTTAGTGCGCCGCGCGTCAATTTGCCCGTGATTTGAGCCTCTAATCCGGGATCTCTCGTCACGAATCCTTCGTGGTCGGGTCCAATGAAGATTCTGGTTAGACTACGAGAGTCTTGGATGAGATCGAGTCGAGCCCCGGCCAATGAGACCGCGATGACTTAACAAGACGTTCGGTTCGCCGAACACTCGGGCGACGATAAGCGGGGAGTCGCTTCTTTAGGACGTCGCATGAACGCATTACCCATGTTGACTCGCACGATTCTTCCTCCATCAACAGCCTCGTCGACGATCACTCGAGCTGTTAAGGAGACGATGGCCAAAGTCAATAACGAATTCGATAAGCGCCGATAACGTAGAGGCGATCCTCAAAATGTTATGTTTGCATAAACTTAAACGATCGCGTTACTCTTTTTGTATTTTTCGTACATATGGATCATGTGTAAATGCAAGTATAATGTAAATGTAAATACGATAAATGCGTGCTGCTCTGTTTTATCATATCTAACGGGAAATATATAAACAAGATATGTAAAGATTTTCTGCAAACTTTTCGTATCTTTTTAGGTTTCTAAATTTCATTGAGAAAGTGGATATGCATAGTCGAAAAAAAATGAAAAGCCCGAAATCTGAGAAGCGGGACAACATCCTGAAAAGTCATAATCCCGTAAATTGAATACTGGAGTAATCTCCCGAAATATAACTTTTCCAAAATATCTCGAAAGCATGCAATTATATTATTCTGAAAAGTCACAACCTCGAAAACTAAATATCAGGACGATCTTCCGAAATATTGGAAAAAGTTAAGAAGTTATAACCTGACGTGAAAATTTCATTTTCTTCTAATATTTCGGGAGATTGTACCGGTATTCTGTTTTCGTCGTGACTCACCGTGATGTTACTGCTTCTTAAATTTCGAGATTTTTCTTTTTCAAGATTATATATATCCACCATTGAAAATATATGAAAATGTTTTTTGAAATTGTCCTGATCGTAGCATTGACACATTCGGTATATATAGGCCGCAGGATTTCTATATCAGATAAATAATTACACTCACCGACAGTTGGAAATGGCACTTTGAAATTTTTAATAATTTTCGCCATATACTGAGCAATGCTCCAATTCCTTTTTGTACTTTCACTGTGTAAACGTATTTATTATTAATTCTGTGCAACTAACAAGACGTAAACTTTGCTGAAAAAAATCAATATTCGATAAACTTTTCAAATACGGCATCCCCTTAACCGGAAGTTCTCGTATCTTGAACGCGACGGAGAAAATTTGCACGTCGATGTTAGCGTTTTTCTTCTTGATCACTTGACAGCCTATTCCTCTCGATTTAACGACGCGTCTCTTTTTACCGTACGTTGCAGGACGCGGAGAGCAAGAAGAGTGAGAAGAAAGAGGTGGTCGGGCCGCCCCTGCAGACAGCATCGGTCAGCGTGAGAGCGCTCATCGAGGAAAAGATTATACAGAAGCGAACGACAGGTAGGTCTCTTTGAATATTTTTCTTACAGATCATATAGGAGCGAACCGGACCCGATGAGTCCTTGCATCTCTCGTTAAAATAAACAGCCGAATTACACATCGAGGAAATGTTTGGACGCGATAAGACCACGAGAGAGATAGATAGATAGATAGATAGGTAGGGAGAAGGAGAGAGAGAGAAAGAGAGAGAGAGAGAGAGAGAGAAACGTAGCGTGACAACGTCATTGTTTCGTTCGGAATCCCGAGAAGGAATGCGCCCTATCACGACCGCGGGGGAAAAAAGAATTAATACACTGTTCCGGCGGGCGATGCTGAGAACATCGAATCCGCGAACGCGATTCCGGTGATTTACGGACGCGCATCCCGATGCGACTATATCTCCCGTTGTGTCCTCCCGTTCATCTGTCCTCCTTCTCTCTTCCTCGCACCGTTCTCTCCCTCTCTCCCTCCGTCCTTTCCTCCCACCCTTCCACTCCTCCTCGTGCATATGTACATTTGCCAGGACGGGGAGGACCGCCGTGATATTTCGCGGGGGCCTCCTCTATGGGGGTGCAGTGTATGGACTGCCGAAGAACCGTGATTTACGAAGCGAACACGCCAGAATATTTCTCGCATTGTCCACGTTGGCACGATAAATCAAGCCGCAGCAGTAGCAGAACCCGGCGGCTCCCAGGCCCCGTGCTTTTGTAACAAAGTGCGCGTCGTTAGCGATTTATGCGCGATTTCACCTCGGCATCTGCCAAGAACGGCGAGGGACGAGATCCGCTTACGTCCGCCGGCGCCTTCTGCGCCGCTGCTTTCGGCTAGCCGTAAAGCGAAATAAGCGCAAAATAATCGCCGAAGCGCGCGCGCCCTGTCCTCGCGGACGTGTGTGAATGATCGCCGGCAGTTAACCTCGGTGACCCGAAATCACTTCGAGCGGCCCGTCGTTTGATATCAAAGTCCCGTTCCTTGCGAGCTCCGTGTATTCTCTCACTTCGACGTTATCGATACGAATCGAATGTTTGTGCAGCAAAAATAATATTAATATCAATTCAAGACTTATATTCTCATATATAAGCTAGAGTATATAATATAATCTTATATAAAGATCAAACTTTCTTACGTGAAGAAATTCTACATAGTTCCACTAAAAATATCACGTTCTTATTATTCAGAAATCATTTTCGTGAATTGAGGGGAAAAAATATTGGATAGAAAGATACCTTCAAACTAAGAATTATTTCAGTTTGAAGATATATATTGTTCTATCTGGTATTTTCTCCTCTCAAATCATGAAAATTATTCTTGAATAACAAGAATATGATATTTTTAGTGGATCTATATGAAGAAAAAGTAAAAAATTCTTCGAATTTGATAAAATTTTTTAATTGAAACAAGTTTGTCTTTTGGAATCAAGCAAACAAACGAATGTTTGATTCAACAATAAAGATTGTTTGGTTTCTTAAATAATAAATGTCTGTACAAATCGAAATAAAATTAAGTCAAATTATCAAATAACATATTTCGGTATTTTCATTCAAATATTACAATGGTTGTAACAAGCAATAAATTATTTGAAGGAAGTAACACTATATCAAAAAAATATTAAGGAACTTCTTTGTTTCCATGGAACAATATTCAATATATAATAAAGTAAATTTTTTTTATTGAGAACTAAATATTATTTCTTCGAAATAATACTGTTTTTATCACACCTAAGAAAAACTACTACTATCAAATAATATAGTTTATTCTAGATTA